GTAGCATTCATTACTATGCGGACGACAGCACTGGTGATGCCTTATATACGGCCGTGCCAATATTTCTCGGGAAAACGTCGCCGAGTACCGGGACAAACTTGTGTCTGAAGTCTAGTCTTTGCTTAACAAAGTCTCGGATTGGGGGCGACTAAATCTAGTCCAGTTCAATCCCCAGAAGACACAAGTTTGCGCGTTTACCGCTAAAAAGAACCCCTTTGTCGTATCTCCTCAGTTTCAAGGCACTCCCCTTGCTGCCTCAGCTAGCATTGGAATCCTTGGCGTCTACATATCGAATAGTATGCACTTTCGTGGTCACTTGGAAGGGAAGGCCAAATTGGCCTCTAAAAAGCTTGGCGTGCTCAGCAGAGCGAGACAGTATTTCATTCCGGCACATCGCATGCAACTTTACAAAGCGCAAGTTCGGCCCCACATGGAATACTGTTCTCATCTCTGGGCCGAGGCACCCCAGTGCCAGCTCCTTCCACTTGACCGCATCCAGCGCAGAGCGGTTCGAATCGTCGACGACCGAGATCTTTCTGATCGGCTTGATACACTGGCCCTGCGTAGAGATGTTGCATCTCTTTGCGTATTTTATCGCATCTATCACGGGGAGTGTTCTGAGGAATTATTCGGACCAATTCCAGCCGCTCAATTTCACCATCACACATCGCGACAAAACTCGCGTTACCATCCATACCATCTGGATGATTGGCGGTCCACCACTGTGCGATTTAGGAGAAGTTTTCTCCCTCGCACAACTTCCTTGTGGAATCAATTACCACCAGCGAATTTTCCGGACCGATACGACTTAGGAACCTTCAAGAAAAGAGCTTACACCTTTCTAAAAGGTCGGCAACGCATCTGCAATTCCCCTGGTGTTGCGGTTGTTCATGGGCAGCGGTAGTCACTTACCATTAGGTGAGCCGCATGCTCGTTTGCACCCTCTTCTATAAAAAAAAGCGGTCTTAACAAAGGGGCGTAACGGACTAAGTGATACAGACACTCCCACGCGGATGTAAAGTGCATTTTGATTCAATACGCGCTTAATTAGTATATACTTCTATTATATACTTTCAAAAAGCAACCCGTGACAAGGTTAATAAAATAATCAAAAAACTTGGCTCTAAAAAGGAACCAGGCTCTGATAATATTGGTGTTTCTGATATAAAATGTATGGACACAGAAGGGGCCATTGCCAACCTAATTAATACAAGTGTTGAAACTGGCATTTATCCCGACGAACTAAAGATAGGATGTGTTAGACCAATATACAAGAAAGGAAGACGGGATGATTTCCTGAACTATCGACCAATCACCTTATTATCTTCAATTAACAAAATTGTAGAAAAGTATGTGCGTGAACAAATTGATAAATTCTACAATACACACGATGTAATATATGAAAATCAGTTTGGTTTTCAAGCTGGGAAGGGTTCAAATGATCTTTTGATGAAGTTAACAGATGAAATTAACGAGTACCTAAATAACAAAAACCATGTACTCGTCCTATTTATTGACTTTTCACGGGCATTCGACACTCTTGATCATAAAAAATCATCACTAAGTTGGACGATTGTGGAATACGGGGACCTCTTCTGAAATGGTGTACAAATCATCTCAAAAATAGGAAATTCTCTGTGAGAATAAATGACACACACAGCGACCCAGTGACTGTAATTGAAGGCACAGCACAGGGATCTGTGTTTGGCCCCCTCCATTTTCTATCATATGTAAACGACATGCATTTTTACATAAATCACTGTTCATGCTACCAGTTTGCTGATTACACATGTTTGCTAGTCGCCGATAAATACCCTGATATAGCATGTGACCTGTTACAGTCTGACTTTAATATGCTTGCAAAATGGTGTCATGACGCCGTATTGGTGTCTAAAATCAAGCTTTTACACATAAAGTCTCCTTATATCAAGTGTACTTTATCCAAGCACATTGTAGCTCACGATCATAATTGCCTTCACTCGTCTTGTAAAAACACTTGCAGTTGCCCCTCTATAGATCTCGTCAATACATAGTCAGACATATCTTGGAATGCAGATCGATAGTAAGTTTACTTGGCATAACCACATCGAGTGTGTTTGTAACAAGTTAAGACAATTCTTAGCTAATATTATAATACTGAAGAACAGAATTCCGTTCCCAGTTAAGATGGTGTTATATAACTCTCTGGCAGAATCTTATACACAGTATGGTTTAGGTAGCTATGGTCGTACATTTAATATTATTTAAACAAAATATATAACCTCCAGATAAGAATCCTTAATAACATTGTAACAGACAAGATTCGACGTCAATTTCATGATGACGATAGTATGCTCTTTAAGCACTGCAATATACTACCAGTTCATACACAAGTCAAATATTTACTTTTAAAAAAACACTTTTTTAATGAAAAGTTAGAATTAGAAATTAAGCACCCCGTGTGTACGCGCGCCGTAAGCAGCCGCAAACTACAGACGAGCCAGGCAAACAATATGTACGAGGAACGAACAGCAAGTTACATTGTTCCACGACTTATAAACAACCTAACCCCAGATTTCCGCGATAACTTAAATATAAAAAACATTAAAAATAACTTAAAATGTACTTTTTGTATAATTTATAAAAAAATTACTACTTGAAACAGCGTATATGCGTTTGCTCAGGTCCTAATTAGGCTGTAATGTTTCCTTTTTACAAACTATATTAATTATATGTAACGTCGACTCTGGTCGCGTCATCACAAACCTTAGTGGTTTTCTGTATGCGACTTTTTAGTATAATTTTTTTTGTAATGCTTTGTAATATGGTAAATAAATTTAAAAAAAAAATAAAAAATATGTATAAAACTTGAAAACAACATTGTTCTACCAGTGTTTATTGCCAATGGTGACTTATGAATTTGAGACATGATCTGAGACATAACAATAGATAAAATAGCACCTTATCTAGCCACTATATTTAATACAAGCGTTGAATCTGGTGTGTTTCCTGATTTAATGAAACATAGTAAAGTCATACATTTATTTAAATCTAGTAATACATTAGACCCCGCCAATTTAAGACCAATTTCTGTACAACGAACATTTAGTAAAATTTTTGAAAAAATAATTTTAGATCAGATATTAAGTTTTTTTAATATTAATAAATTGTTTCATAAAAAATCAATTAAGTTTTATAAGGGGTCGACAACTTACGCTGTAGTTGAGCTTATTAAACATATTTTTTGTGCATGGGAGAATTCAGAGGATGCTTTGGGTATATTTTATGACCTTTCCAAGGCCTTCGAGTGTGTTCACCATTAGTCATTATATAATGCTATATCAAAATTAGTGCATTGGTTTAACGTCTACATATAAACAGAAATAAAACTAATTGTATTAAATTTACAACATCAAATGTTATAAATCTGATTACCAATGTGTTTTTAAATTGGGAAGATCTGAGCCCTGTTGCATCCACTGTTTTTCTTCGCATCACTCACTAAAGCTAAAGCTTCAATCACTTTTTACACGGTAATGTTGAAGTTTCCTGATTAATGTTTCATCGTAAACACAATCGAAGGCTTTGGATAGATCACAGAATATACCCAAAGCATCCTGTCAATTCTCCCATGTACTGAAGGTATATTTAAACATCTCAACACCATAATCAGTTGTAGCGCGACCTCTTGTGAAACCGAATTGATTTTTATGAAGTAAATTATGTATTGAATTCATAAAAATCAAATATTGCCTCTACCACGTATAAAACTGTTAATTAAGCTTAACAAAAATTTCTCCCATAATCTTTTCAAAAGTATATATAGAACATGGAAGTCTGTAGACGCTCACAACAATTAGGTGCTCAAACTCAATATATGCTGTATCTACAGTTCGCTCAACAGAGATGCTCAAATTATCTTTACATTCTTGCAGTTTAAGTGTGGCAACTATGACAAATATTATCAACCCTATGAGGACATATGTGGGGTAATCCTATGTATAGCGGAGGAATTTTGATAGGCTGTAACGATAACGATATTATTTATTTGTTTAAGCCACCTTTTTCATCAATTAGTGGAGCTGGGGCTATGGACATTTATAGCTAACTAAGAAACAGGTAAGTCAGATAATGATAACAATTTATGCATGAATTAAGGTAATAAACAGATGTGATGAAAATATAAAAATATTCTCCCTTAATTTGACATCATTAATAGAGGGCAAAACAGTATCGAGAAAGAAAGAAAGAAATATGTTTATTTGGCACATTAATTATAACAAACAAAAAAATTGTCAAATAGAACAATTTTTTTAACTTAACAAAAACATTAAAAAAGAAGGAATAAAATAAACGTAATATGCACCAAAATGGTCTCCACTCAGCTTTAAGTAACGCTGATTTTCAGTGGAGCCAGGAGTATGAGGCAGATGACAATAAACAGCAAGAGAAGAAATATTAACAAAAATATAAAATAAAAGTAAAATAAAATAAACAAATCTGTCAAAATTCCTTGTACCAGTGATACATTTGTAGTGTAGTAATAACAAAAGGTGGTATACATACAGAAAAATAAAATAAATTGTGTGTGTGTGTGTGTGTGTGTGTGTGTGTGTGTGTGTGTGTGTGTGTGAGTGTGTGTGTGTGTGTGTGTGTGTGTGTGTGTGAGAGTGTGAGAGAGAGAGAGAGAGAGAGAGAGAGAGCGAGTGGATGTGTGCATGCGTATATGAGTGAGGTTTTTTATTTACTATTTCTGATCGGTGGAGGTATGTCATTCTAGCACTTAGTGGCAGCAAAGCGGAAACTGCCACGGAAGGCAGCTGTGTGATGCTTAGGGTATGTAAGTTGTGATGCTGTCCTAACCGCACGTTGCGTAAAAATGAGCTTTTGGGACAAGTATGATGGTTCCCCGGTATTTATTACTCCAAAAAGCAATGACGCAAGGTGGAGGGTACGTCTAGCGGCCATACTCATCAGGTCGTGTCGATTTAAAAATGGGGTTATGTGTGATCTCTTAGGGATTATTTAGTGAAGTAGAAACGTTCACAGGCGTTTTGAACTCTTTGTATTAATCTTTTGGTTCTAACGAGCAAACACTCACCAAATACTGTATCCGCATGAGTTAGCTTCGACAGAATGAGTGCTTCACATAACCTAATGCGCACGTTCACTGTCAAATACTCTCTTATCTGGTACAAGACTTTGAGTCTATAGAAACAGTAACGCATGGTTTCTTGTACATGACCCTCAAAACGCAACCTTCCAGCCATAACGAGACCTAAGTTCTGACCTTCCAATACACGTTCTAAAGGATTACTCTTGATATTAATTTGCGGATTGAAAGTTAGAATAGTATTTGTCTGGTTTTGCGTTCCCAGTAACATATACTTAGATTTAATGGGGTTTAATACCACATTATTTTGATCACACCAATCGGCTATGTGGTCCAAATCTGAATTGATTTTTGTTACTGTAATATTTGTGTCACTTGTTTTTTTTTGTTTTTTTTTAAACGTTACCCCCACACTAGGATTTTCTCCTGTGTCGTGGAGGCAGTTTACAAACATAAATTGCACAAGGACAAACATCCAGACTCGGAACAATTATTTGTAGGCCATACAAATACTTGTTCCGTGCGGGATTCGAACTCGCGGCCCCCAGCGCAACAACTGATTGCTAAGCCACTGCGCCACGGAGCCGTCACTGGGTTTAAAAGACATGTACAACTGAAGGTCATCAGCATATATATGATAATTACAGTTTTTTTGGTGTTCACTATATCTGAGCTATATAATATAAAAAGTATGGGCTGGGGCTTATACCTTTTTTAATCATTTCTTTTACAGTATAGGTTATCCACGGATAAGAATGTTTTTTTATATAAAAAGATCTAAGAGGAGCACGCACATTGTATAGTTCAAGCAAAATATTGTTGTAATTTTTCACCATTTTATCAATATCGCCATTTACAACACTTTCCCATTCTATACAGTTGACATCTAAGGCAAATTTTTTTATATTTATATCCTTTAACGGTCTATAGGTAATTAGGTAATGTTTGATTTTATTAATATTCAGTTCACAAGTTAAAAATGCATGACTGCAAAGATCAGGAATATAATTGACGGTTACGTTATAAAGAGTCACGTTAGAACAATTTACATCAATCAATGTTTCACTATGATCTGTGAAGTGTGTCGGTTGCTTTACAAACTGAGTAAGATTCATGTAATCAAAGAAACTTTGCAGCTTTTTAACATTAGTTTCCTGTATATTAAGAAGATTTATGTTAAAATCACCGACTAAGATAATATACTCGAATTTTTTTTTTCTCTTTATTTGGATCACCAACAGATGATACACAATACTAACAAAAATATAACTTAACAATGCGACTACATGCTATGTGTTCATCTTCTTACAGGTAACCACAACTTACATAAATAGCGAAGTGATTTTTAAAAAAAAATAGAAAACAGATAGATATATGATAATAAATATACATGGAAAACCAAATTTGATATAGCTACAGTTTGTGGATTTCATGCTTACATTCTATACATAATATTGATATTAAATTAAATCTACTAATTTTATTACACATTTCTGAAATGTTTATAGATCAAATACTTAAATCTAGACAACGGTGTATACATTATATCTATTTCTATGGAATTTGGTATACGGTTGTATAATGACATCATTCTGTTCTTTGAACAGCTTGTAAACCTTAAAGCGCGGTAACTTATTTGGCACAGATATATTTATTTTACTTAGAAGTTGCGGGCAGTCAATATGGTTATGTAATAATTTGTGCAAGAACATAAGATCTAGTTTTTTCCTTCTATTGTTAGGTGTTGTCATTTTAAAATATTTAAGTTTTTTATTATATGAATTCAATAAATGTGATTTCTTTGTGTGGTGACATAAAAAGCACAAAAATCGCTTTTGAATTTTTTCAATACGGTTCTTGTGTACTTCATAAAATGGATTCCAGACTTGAGGACAGTATTCCAGAATACTCCTTACTAATGTATTATATAGCAATATAATAGTTTTAGGGTCCTTAAATTGTCTAGACTTCCGCATAATAAAACCCAACATTTTGGAGGACATACATACATACATACATAAACACTCACGCCTGTCACCCAGAGGGGTAGGCAGAGACTACGGACTTCCATTTGGCGCGATCCTGACACACCTCTCTCGCCTCTTTTACATCCATATATCTACGCATACACGCTCGTCGGTTAAGGGTACTCCTAATCTGGCCCATTTTTAATGTATCGCCGATTTGGTCGATAAACCTTCGTCTAGGGCGTCCCTTCCCGACCCTGCCGTTCACTTTGGAGGACCTTTTTATGATATCATCTAGGTGAGTATTGAAACTTAATCTGCTGTCAATCATAATACCAAGATCTCGAATAATAGAAGCCGGTTCTAAAGGTGTGTTATTTATCTTATATTGAAATAAATAAGGTTCTTTGTTACGTGAGAAAGTTATGACGTGACACTTATTCACATTCAAAAGCATTTTATTGTCTCTACACTAATTACACAATCTATCAATGTCCTCTTGTAGCAATACACTATCACTAATGCTTCTTATTGGCCTTAACACCTTAAGATCATCCGCAAAAATATAAGGCTCAGAGTTAGGAAAGCAATTAACTATATTGTTTATAAATATTGAGAACAAGAGTGGACCAAGGTTTGAACCTTGAGGAATACCTGATGTGACGATAAATGTTTTCGATCTAGCTCCATTGACAACCACAAATGATTGGCGGTCTTTTAAATAGGACGCAAGCCACTGTAAGTTAGAGCCCCCAATACCAAAGTGAGACAATTTATGAAGAAGTATTTCATGGTCTACCTTGTCGAATGCCTTGCTAAAGTCAGTATATATTGTATCGACTTGAACGCGTTGATCAACGAATTCCGTCAAGGTTTCGACAAAGTCGACCATGTTCGTGTTAGTGGATCTACCTCTGATAAATCCATGCTGCTTATTTGTTAGCTGAGTTTTAACATGGTTGTATAGATAAGAATAGATAATACTTTCAAATACTTTTGAGAAAATAGATAGAATTGATATTGGTCTATAATTTTTTATGTCTCGCTTAGAGCCATCCTTATGAATTGGCACAATTTTAGTTTCTTTCCAACGTGCTGGAAAGATACCTGATTTTAGAGACTTATTAAATATTATGGTAATGGGGCGTGACAATTGTTTAGCGCAATTGACAATGAAAACTGGTGGTATGTCATCGGATCCCGGTCCCTTGCATAAACCACCTAAGACGACCCAACCTGGCAACATACAACGCACACACCCTTAGTACTGACGAGAAAATCGTGGAGCTGGAAGAAGAGATAGACAAGTTACGCGGGCATATTATAGGATTATCCGAGGTCCGAAGAGGGGGGGAGGACACGGTAATCCTCGAATCCGGCAATTTACTCTATCACCGGGACCGACCCGACGGGGCGACCATCTGTCCCAAGGAGGTGTCGGATTTATCGTCCACAAGTCTCTCGTTAACAACGTTGTAAAGATTGAGAGTGTGTCGACGGGGGTTGCATACCTTATACTCAGAATCACCAAACGGTATTCGCTGAAGGTCATACAGGCTTACGCACCAACTTCAGCACATCTCGATGAGGAGGTGGAGGAAGTGTATGAGGATATCTCTAGAGCCATGCATTCCTCCAAAACCTACTATATGGTGTTAATGGGAGACTTCAATGCAAAACTAGGAACAAGAGAGAACGGTAAGCTGAAAGTGGGCAGGCCGACTTCATGAAGAAAGAGGGACTCTTTATGATGAACTCTTTCTTTCAGCAGCAACCCCACAGGAAGTGGACCTAGTCGAGCCCCGACGGTTCGACAAAATGAGATTGACTTCATTATGACGACCAGACGACAACTGTTTGTTCAGTGATGTCTCCGTGATTGATTGGTGCAGAGACAACCGAATGACACTAAATACAAAAAATTCAACACGTCAAATTTACCAGAAAAGTAAACCTTATTTCATTTAGTTATAAAATAGATGAGTATATTATTCAAGAGATCGAGGTTATAAAAGATTTAGGGATTACTTTTGACGGGAAGCTGACATTCATACCTCATTACAAAAACATCGTTAAAAAGCCTCAAGGCTGCTCGGCTTCGTCATACGAAATAGCAAAGAATTCAGCATTAAAACTAAGAAAATACCGTATAATACTCTCGTTCGTAGCACACTCGAGTACTGTTCTCTTATCTGGCGTCCACACTTTGCGGTTCACAATCTACGCATTGAGCGTATTCAGAAGCGGTTTCTGTGGCATTTGGTGATTAATTGGTAAAGCAAAGAGAGATTTCTCATGTGCGGATAGGCTAAAATTTTTCAAAATGTTGTCGTTAGATTAACGTAGGGAGCTAACAGACTTGTTGTTTTTGTACAAAATTCTCAACTGTAGAATTAGTTGCCCACAGTTACTGATTGATTTTAGCGCGCCTTTGAGATATCCGCGTCATCCGATAGCACCACTGAGACCACCAACCCGCAGAACCGTTCTTGGCTCCAACTCTCCATTACCCAGACTGTGTAAGTTGCTAAGTAGCTACAAACACAGAGTTGACGTAAACTTTGATTTCGCTTACAGTTTCCGTAAAAAAATTGTCGACAGTATGACTAGTACTTAATTTCGTGCAACCAGCTTGTGTTCTCTTTTACGATACGGATAAACAATGTTTTCTTTTTCTTTTAAAATTGTTAACTTTATTTAGTAAAATAAAAACCCACTTAAGTTATTGTTATATTGCATGCTGTGTTTACTAGTAAGTAGTCACTACACCTAGCTTAAGAAACTTTTCTGTCATTGAAGATTGTTATTGTGTAAGTTGACTGTTAGTAAACCATACAAATAAAATAAAATAAACTAGACTAGATTTAGACTAGACACAAGTTTGTTCCGATATTCAGCGAAGTTTTCTCGAGAAATATTGGTACGGCCGGTATATAAGGCATCACCAGTATTGTCGTATGCATACCAATGAATGTTACTAGTTTGCAACATATCATTGATATGCAGGAGAAACAGCGTTGGTGATAGCACGCAGCCTTGTGGAACACCACCGTTGATAGGCTTGAAATCAGAGCATGCAGCGTCTACTACGACCTTGTTATTCCGATCTGCAAGAAAGCTGGTGGTCCAATTGCACAATTTCTCGGGAAGGCCATAGGAAGGGAGCTTCGAAAGAAGCGCTTTACAATACAATACAATAACTTTATTTCAGGCATCAAGGACTTAAAAATTAAGAACATTGGCCCATAGCAATATATACCTTAACCAAAAAATATATATAAAATATTGACATAACTTAACACTATTTAGGGAACTTTTTTCTTTGGCGCGTCCCTGTATCGGCGAAACACTACCCCAGAGGGCCAGAAATCGGGAGCGAGGAATGTCTCTTTATGTTTTGCAGGAACCTGGAGTACGTAGGATTTGAAGTTCGTTGACCTATTAGACTCCAGACGCTGCAAATGTAAAGAGATCGGATCCTCAATGCGGCATCGGCTTCGTTCTTCCACGAAGCGCAGGACGTCTTCTTCCGACGTACTTCTGTCCAAACGGGAGATGTAGAGTTGTATGGTTGGCTCCACAGCACGCAGAGTTGTACTCGCGTTTATTTTCGCGGTCCCACGCTGGTTACAGACGGGTCGCGACCGACGTCTCTTCTCAACAAGAGTAAACCCGTCCTTATCAATCTTGTCTTGGGTCACCACTGGAACTGATTTTATTTCCACATTCTTCCGCTTTGGACCACAAGAGGGTGCTGGTTGTAAAGATTTACGGGCAACATCCGCAAACGTCTTCCCTTGTTTTGAGGTTGGCTTCGGCGGAGGAGTACCAATGGGTTCAGTCAAGGGTTGAGGTGGTGATGCAATGACGACCGAGGTCGCCCTAGTTTCTCGGTCATCAACCCGCTGACAGACGGTATCGCGTGACGGAGTCGCAATCATCGGTGAAATATGACTACTATTACGGTTACCGCGTGTCGTATTCACATTCTGCGACGACGGTGAATTTGCAGATGTTGCAATTATGTTGCGCAACATATTGACTTCGTTCCTCAGCTCTGTTGCGGCTCGTTCTGATTTCTCAAATTTGGAACGGATGTCGGTAATATCGGCTCTCAACGTGGTGATGTCTTTCAACAATCTGGTGACGTCTACGTGATCGAACGTCACGGGAGGCAGCTTGTTGAGATCACGCGCGACGAAAGTTGGGATGTCATCAGGGTCGGTCTCATTGAACAGCCTGAAGATGTCTTGCAGGTCTTTCTTACCGCGTCCATCCCTGTGACGTGTAATAAGACGGATTTGGGTCACGGCTGAATCTGCTAACATCTTCTTCGCTTGGATGATCTCGTCCTCGGTGAAGCTTGTCATCAGTATCTGCTCCAGAGACACCTGGTCCATGACGTCCAATTTTTGTTGAACAAAGGCCAGCAACTCGTGGATTACGACGGTTTCGGAACATTTAGGTTGACGACACGCCATTTCGAATTATTTTTGCGCAGTAGGTATGCTTACGCTACAAAAATACTGTAAGTTCGGCATTAGAGCCGTCACGTCATTATGAAGCGACTGCACTAACCGGTAGTAGAATTGCGACTGTCTTTTGCTTTGTAGCAAACCCGATCGAAGGCCTTCGCAATGTTTAAACTAACGGCCAATGCCTCCCCCTTGTACTCTACTGCCTTCACCCATTTATGAGTCAGGTAGACCAGAAGATGACTAGCTGATTGACCCTGATGAAATCCGTATTGGCGATCACTAATCAGCTGGTGATACTCAAGGTACCGCATGAGCTGGCGGTTTATAAGGGATTCCATTATTTTGGAGAACAAGGAAGTGATGGCGATAGGCCTGTAGTTGTACGGGTCTGAGCGATCGCCTTTTTTAGGGATCGGGTGGACCAAAGCTGTCTTCCATGATTTCGGGACTACGCCTAGGGAGTAGGAGTACTGAAAAAGATCCGTTAGTACCGGTGCCAACTCTTGAGCACACGCCCTCAGCACAATTGGGGGATTCCGTCAGGCCCACTCGACTTGTGGATGTCCTGGGAGAGGAGTGATTTGCGAACCGAGGGCTGTGAGAACCGCACATCCAGCATGGAGCACTCACACCGCGGGATGGTCGGCGGTGTGTTCCCCCCGTCATCGAGAATCGAGTTGGACGCAAAAAGGGGGCCTAAAAGGTCGGATTTCTCTTTTGCGGCATGGGCCTGTGAGTCGTCCTCCCTGTGCAGAGATGGTTACAGAAATTCCCTTGGACAGCCTTGGCGAGAGACCAGAATGCACGGGTTCCCGAAGGAAGTCGAACAAGTTTCTCGCCAATTCTGCCTATGTGCTCTGACTTTGCCTTGGCAATAACTCTTTGGAAGGACCTGGAGGCAAAGTCATAGTTCTTTTTAAACACGCTGGTGTTTACATCCCGAGCCGCCGAAGCCTCAGCCCAAGCCTGATAACACTCGTGCTTACAGCGTAATGTAGTCTTACATGAACGACCAAACCAAGGCTGAGATCTGCCTCCGATAGGTACCACAGATGATGGAATAAATAGTTCCATTCCCTGTAGCACTGCATCAGTGACATAGTCAGCAACAGCGCTGGGCGCTGGGCGAGAAGCAAACCCGCCCCCATGGGTAGGATGCAAAGAAAGACCGCATTCCGTCCCAATCCGCCGACCTGTAATGCCATACACGGCGGCAACCTGCAGAACGAACCGCGAGGAGAGCGTCAGGCACCACACTCGGGATCAGACAATTGTCCGAAGAGCCAAGAGGGGCATCAACGGAAACCTGATATCCGGCCGGATAAGAGGTCAGCAGAAGGTCCAACAGGGAAGGTGTATGATCCTCCACATCTGGAATCCGCGTATGCGAAGTAACCAGTTGTGTCAGACCATATGCCAAGGCAAAATCATAAACAGATCTCCCCGCATGATCGGTTAAACGTGAACCGAGCCATTTGGCGTGGTGGGCGTTGAAATCGCCTAGGAACACGATCTCTGCGGATGGGACCTGTTGTAGCAAGGAATCTGTAGCCATTTGGATGTGGTCGATGAGTCGGTCTGTTTTGGCATTACCGCTATGGGACCTACAGAGGCAACCGTATTGGGCCTCTGGCCACCTGCACTCACCAGACGAAACGCAGAAGCAAAGCTTCCACTTCACGCCGGTAATCTGTGAGGTCGTGGTACCAACCCGGCTCGAGCCGGCCCATACGAGCAATAAAATTAATTAATAAAATTAAGTAAAAGTACATAACTATACCTATTTATAGTGTTATTTTATCCCACATGTTCCTCTAAAGTAAATTCAAGTAATTTTGTTGGGTCCTCTCACATATGTGGGATTTCACCCAATAGGTTTGTGAGGTTTGAGCCAAAATTACTCGAATTTGCTTTAAGGGGGATGCTCTGATACCCTCGCCATACATTTTTGTTTTGGCATATACGTTAAACACAGACACTATTTGTTTAAAACTAATCATTTTATCACTTTTCTACACTGAAATGTGACGTTTGCCCGCGATTGACCTTATTAGGAAATAACTTACAGTATTTATTAAGCAAAACATCAATCTTGGAAAATTTTGACAAAATTTTGATTACCTATGTCATAAGTGTCGGTGTTGAGTACAAAACTACAAAGTCAGTGTTTTTATTAACCGGTTCAGTGTGGATGGCACGTCAGGCGTGCCATCGATTATTTTTGTGTGTGGCGTACGACACGCGAGTCGTGTCTTTTGAAAAATCATTACTTCTCGCTCAATATGCGTTTTTGGAAGATTTATCCAGAACAAAATATTCATTATTTTGCGAGTAGTTCATGCCTACAGCTTCGTTTCTCGATATTTTGAAATTTACGAAGTAATGCATGTACTCTTGTGATATGGTATAAGGTCTCGTCTGTGATATCGCCTAAGCCAACTCTGAAAACACTTTTGCCAGTCTTGATCTGACAGGTCGGAAATCGCTTCTTCGTAGGCAGCCACGGCTTCTTCAGCGCTTGAAAAAAAACTTGCCTTTTATTTTTTCCTTGACTCTTGGGAACAAAAAGAAATCACAAGGAGCTAAGTCAGGGCTGTAGGGTGGGTGACTTCAGAGTTTCAGCAGCAGATTCCTCAATAAATGCTTTTGTTCTAAGGGAGGGATGTGTAGAGGCGTTATCGTGATGCAGCATGATTCCCCGAAGCCCGGTCTTTGGTCTTCTCTCCCGCATAGCTTAAAAAGCTTTGGGTAATGCAACTGTAGTATACCATTCAGAGTTGACTGACCTACAATTTTCCAGCATTAACGTCAACAAATGTCCGCTCCGCGAAAAAAAACTAACCACCATTTTTTTGCTGACGTTGCGAGTTCTTTGCAGTTTTATCAGTAACTGTCCTTCTGAGTAGACCTATACCGATGATTGCCTTTTATTTTCCGAATCATATTGATAGATCCATGTCTCGTCACCAGTAAGGATTTCTGAAACACGCCTAGATGCCCCGTTTTCAAAACGTAGACGCATTTCATGGCACCAATCGACAGAGTCTGTTTTTCGCTTTCGGAGAGCAAACGGGGGATCCATTGACAACAAAGCTTCCTCACTCCAAAATGTTGATGTAGGATGGTATGAATACTCCCCGAACTAATGCCTACAATCTTTTCGATGTCTGTATATGTGATTCGTGGGTCTTCTCGTACCAACATTTCAGCAGTCCATACATTTTCTGCCGTTACTGCTGTTTGCGGGGCCCCGGTTCTTTAGTCATCTTTAAAATAAATTTTACCCGAATATATTACTCGAACTTACCCCACAAATAAATTTCATGCTAATTAACGTGTATTTTATTTCATTAGCGTGTTTATGTAATTAGACATTGTTTATGATCACCAATCAATTTCTAAAATGTAAAAAGGAGATCATTGTGACAATGAGCACCTTCTTTCCAATTACATTTGGGAGTTAGGTAATTAAATTACAAACTATTGTTTATTTAATATTTTTTGTTTATTTTTTGTAATTCATATAATGAAAAAAATAATGTAATTGTGACATAGGCAAAAATTTGGGTATATCTATATACATATAATAAAAATATAAAAAGCAGACGTCTGTACATTTTATATTTTTGTAATCAAAGTGATTGAGAGGTACTAAAAATAAGTAACTAAATACATTTCTACCATTTTTAGAATTTTCTGTCTGTCTGTCTGTTTGTTTGTTAACGTATCACGTATAAAGTACTAATTTATATCATAAGAATCATTAAGGAAAATATAAAGTGTATCTTCGGGTTACATTTAGTCTTTATTTTATTAAAATCAGTTCATTAAATCAAAAGTTATGATAAATATTCTGAAGTATAAATACGAAGTATAGGTACGAATTTATTCAACGGTGGCGTTGGTTGAGTCATCAAATGCATTTTAAACTAATACTATATCATAAATCATAATTAAATTAGGTAAAATAATGTTCTATAATGATATCATTATATCTAAAACGCAGTAAACAAAAGTATTAAAGAACGTATTAAATAAAATAATATACAAAAATATATTATAACCTTATTAACTAAATCTAAAGTGAAATAGTTAACCAATTTCATCGATAGATGGCGGTATGGTCCAAATGTAATATAAAAAGGCATTTTGCTTACTAAGCAGACACTGGTTTATAAGTTCTTTTATGTTTTATATATATAATAATGTACCAATCGCGTCAATTAATCTCTTTTATTTTTAGAATTGATTGCTGTTAGCAGCGCCATCTCTCTTTAAATATATACTTATAATAAAAATGGTGATAACTTGTTGTGTCTGTTTTTGTACATTGTATAGAATATTTGTCACTAAAATCATTATAGGGAAATGAAAATAATTAGGTAAACACATTTTTATAATTTTTAGAATTGTCGGTCTGTCTGTCTGTTTGTTTATAAACGCATCACATCTAAAGTAAACATTTTTTTAAAGAAATCGTTAAGAAAATCATAAAGCGTATCTTCAAGTTACATTTAATTTTTATTTTATTAAATTTGGTTAATTCTATCGAAAGTTATGATTATTACTTTAAAATGTAGGTTCTAATTTGTTCAATGGCGCCATAAAATCTCAGAAAAAGTATTAAAAATATTTTTGTGTAAAAAAACATTCTATAATAATATATTTATACTTAAAACAAAGTGAACAATAAAAAAGATGTTTTCCTTAAATTAAAAAAGTTTTCTCACAACGAACGTAATAGATGGTGTTACGGCCTACGGCTGCTCCCATAAAGATCAAATCCTCTGGGGCCCATTCAGCAGAGTTTCGACGAACAGACGTAGGTCGGGTCTCCTAAGGCCAAAGTGGAAAATCTCTAATTACACTAAACAATAGGAGCGTTCTATACTACGGCCATTCAACAGGGAGAATATTAGACGGAGCTTACTTACCTATATTCAAGGCGACTGGTCCCTCAGGAGTCGGTCAGATCGCATGTGGTTGTGTGGTGCAAGGGAAAT